TTTAGTGTCTAGAAACTTCGCCCACTGACTGGGATGCCCTTATACTGAACTCATCACCAAACAAAAATTCCTTACATTTTATGTCTTCAACAAAAGACATGAGCACAAGGAAAGAGATTTTTTTTCAATATTTTTTTAGATTTTGTAGCAAGGAACTGTTAGAAACACAGGAGGAGAAAGAGCTGACTTTTGCTTGCTTGCTAGAAAGATCTTCCCAGCCCTGAGGAAATTATGGGAAATAGTATGTACATGTTGAATTGAAACTTTAAAGAGTGAATAACAGAAGTTGCCATTATTGGACAACTGGAGCTAAGGGTATCCTCTCCATGCCAAATGAGGGGTAAAGGATTGGAAGGATAGCCTGGAAGCTGCAGGAGAATGGGGGGCAATCTATTGGTGCATAAGAGAAAATTTATTGGAAAGGCCTTTGGGAGGTCAAGTGTTCCAGCTTCCTGGTCTGCGCAGGGTCAGGAAATTGGGATGGAAAGCTAAAAAATTCACAGCTATCATGTAGGAAGTTTATTTTTGTGGGTCTGAATACCTCAAAATTGTATTTTCTGTCCCTGTCAGAGCCTGAAAAAAGGCTGCTGCAGTAATTGAAGTAGGAGAGAAAAATATTTTAGCCTATGGAAAATAGGAAGATAAATGTTTTAAAGAGTAAAATAACTTTATTCTTATCCCCAAGGGTGCTGTAGAGGCCTAGAATGAATCCCATTGGTTTCTGGGTGGAGCAATTAATGAGAACATAAGCAACAGTGAGACCTTATGAGGAATTTAAAAATGGGTTTAGTTCTCTTGATTCTGCTGTGACAACTAGATGTGCTCTGAAGGACTTCAGAGAGGCAGATTAAACTTGTAGTGTGGAGAGTGGGACATGTCTGCTGCAGAGTGCATCCCAATCAGAATGAGCTTGCTCACAGGATTTGTACTATTTTGAGGCTACGTGGGACAAGATTTCAAGAAAAGTTCTGTGTCAGACTAGCAGTTCCAGAGGATGTGGCTGTGCTGCTGTTCCTGTTGTGTGGCTACCAAAGCATTACAGATGCTTTAGAGAGAGTTAAAGTGAGCACAAGTTAAAGAGGACAGGGCAAAGAAAGCACAGGAGGAAATGGCAATACAGGAAAATAGAGCGTGTCATTAATTTAAAAATGAAGGCCAGATGGGAGTAGATAAGCTTGCTAAAGTCCTAGGCTGTATTTCAATTTGAAGATAAATCAGTTGATATTGTGACTGGGGAACAATTGAATGGAGAATAAGGGAGTAAAAATAACTAAAGGAGAGGAAGAGAATGAATTGAAGAGAGACCAGGAAATTATTTGTCAGTATATCTGATTTCATCTGTCATTTGAAGAGTGTGAGTGGAGTAGGATAAGGTATTGTGGAGGGCAGTAAACTTTTCATTAGTTTAACAAAAAGCCTTGGATATTTTGGAATTTAAAGAAATGTTAGAAAGAATTAAGTTTCATACTAATAAAAATATGATTTTGGCATAATGCAGTAAACTATCAGAACAAGTAAAGCCATGCTCCCTTTCTCTCTTTTCAGCAGTATATTTAGAGAAGTTAAAAATTGCCTAAATAATATGAGTTTTTATTTCCAGACTAATTTATGCATATGCCGGAATGATGCTCTCTGTGGGATTATTGAGTAGCATATTTGGATTTCTGCACAGAGGAAATAGAACAGTCTCTCCACTCAGGACTGGAAAGTGGAGTGTGGGAGCTCTGTGTGTTCGTGCCGTGCAGTGCATCCTTGCAGGCTGAACTCAGCAGGTATCTGCAGTTACCCCGAGCATGGCATTTCTCAGACTGGGGTTCTGAGCATAACTCCTGCTCTCCAGAGATCCAGACCCTTTCAATGTGCATTTCAGAGGCTTTTAGACTGTTCACTAGGTGCTATTCTTGCGTCCTGTAAAAGAAGTCCTAACGTGGACACCACCGTGCGAGCACAGTGTGTGTTTTCGCGGTGCTTTGGCAGCGAGCTGCTGTTCTGTGCGGTGTCCGCCGCCAGTCCCGGCCGCGATCCGTGCCCGAGGATCGGGACGAGCCCTCCCGGGAGCGCCGGGAGCGCCGGGAGCTGCGGCCGCCAGAGGGAGCCCGGGGCAGGGCCGCTGTCACCGCGCGGGGGACAGCCGGGAACGGCGGGACAGTCCGGAGCCTGGGAATGGTGGGACAGTGCAGAGCTTGGGAATGGTGGGACAGTGCAGGGACAGGGAATGGTGGGACAGTCCGGAGCCTGGGAATGGTGGGACAGTCTGGAGCCTGGGAATGGTGGGACAGTCCAGGCCCAGGGAATGGCTGGTACCATCCAGAGCCAGGGAATGGCTGGGATTCAGCTTTGCTTTTCTTCCTGTATTTTTTTTTTATAGACCACTGTGTTTGGAAATAAAAATATGCAATAGTAAAAACTAGTCTATATTTTTTTTAAACTTCATTAAAGACTTCACCATTCAGGATGTCCTTATTTCATGGGCAAAGAAGATTGGCAATAGCCGAGAGTAAGCAGAAATGCAAAGAGAACTTTTAAAAGGCTCATACATTTTCATTTCAACACTTATACACATTTGTCCCCCTATAATCCCTGCTTTTGCTCTGCTACAATGTGCTAGGATGTTGTGTACGCCTGCATAAGAACAGCCAGGACCACACGTACTCTGAGACAGTTTTGCTGTAGGCAGTGAGTGAAGCAGTTCCAGCTACATCTGCAGTGTGTAACACAAGTTACATCAGGATTTTTGCTTTTCTGTTTCTGTTACCACTTGCATTGGAGTCATTGAGTACAACTGCACTTAGGGTCCTGCAACTGCATCTGTAGAAAAGTGGAAAATTTGTGGGAAAAATTAATGTTTCTGCATTCTTGTATAATTTATAGTGTGTAGATAATATATGACAGAGAGTATCTTCCTATTTTTTTTTGGTGATGGCTCTGTCATATAACGGATTACATTTATTATTTCCACCAGATTCTGTTCTCTCCTGAGAAACAGGCTTAATCCTTACAAAACATCGGAAAGTTTTCTAAAATTGCATTTCTGTTCAAACCTCAAGGCCTCTTTTACTTGCCTTGAAAACAGATTTGTATTTCTGAGGTGATTTTTACATCCTGACAAGGTTTTTGGCTTCAGTTTACACAGCTTGGTTGATTTCAGAGCAGCTGTATGAATTACACACCAGGAAAGTACGTGGCATTACAGCTGCTTTTTTTTTTTTTTAAACAGTGGCAGAAAGGCCTTGGATATTATACCAAAAATAGCTTCTCAGATTTTTCACAGAAAAACATGTGATATCTTGCACTGGCAACCTTGGACAAAACCTCTGATCTCCTGTGAGTTTAACTATCACTGCATCTTTCAAAATGCGTGGGCAGCTTGCACTGCAAATGACCTTCATACAAGGCCTCTGTGCTGTCTAAACACATTTTGTGGAGTAGAATAATCAGCAGTGAGTAAGCCAAATGATGATTCTAAGCCTCTGCTTTCTCTTACAAGTAGCTGTGTGACAGTGATGTTCTTTGGGAAGCTCTTGTGGAGAGCTTGCGTGACACAGCCACACCTGAAATGAAAGAGCCCCAAAGGAAGTGGGCTGGGAACCTTCACACACACAAATGTCAGCCACAGCTCCAAAGGAGGCAGGAGCAACACGCCAAGAACAAAAAAACAACTGAATAAAGGTGCATGTTCCATCAAAGCAATTGAAGTGTATTTTTGGGTAACATAAGTTTATTCCCAACATATGGCCCTGTAAGAACCTCTGTAGAAAGATCTATTGCAGATATCACAAGTGAACAACATATTTTTTATTACTGTAATATGCAAATAATGTTGCTTTTGACAAAAGACAAAGTGAAGATCTATGTATGAAGGATACATATCTTTAAAAAAAAAGGCAAATGAGGGAAATCATCACTACAATATATATTTCACCAATAAAAGATAGCTCAGTTCAAATGAGCCATCAGCAGCATTCCCACCAAGAAGACATTTAACCTGTAACAAAGAACTGATGTGAAAATTTACGTGCACATTTTCTCCAATAAAAAAAGTTGATTTTAGGAAGTTACTGACTGTGTGTTCACACTGTGTGTTGCAGTTCAGTGCCACCTCAGTTGTCTTATGTGAATTTTAAAGGCCGTACATAACTACCCTATATGATTGCACTGATATAAATCTTAAACTAATTCAGAGTTCCTTAAGGTTTTATTTTTTAACTTGGCTGACTTCAGTGGTCCTTAAGGAATACTTTAAAGTATGTCCCTGCCAAGAGTTGTAGAAGTGCAACACTAAGAAGCTGGTGAATTGCAATATAGAACGATACACATTCAGAACTTTTTCTTAACCAACCTTGCAGCTATAAAGAAGATAAGGATATTGATGTTGTTGTGAACTGAACTGTTTCCCAATAGTTCTTTAATATAATCAAATAGTTTCAATTGCTTTTTAAGGAATTCCAGCAGCACGTAGAAATATTAAACTAAGAACCTGATTTGTCATGCAAAGAACTTTCATAAAGAGGATGAAAACTTACAGTGGTTCTTATTTGATAGGAAAATTAACATCAGACTCACCTCTCAAAGCTGAAAAAAATATGCCCTCAACCACCACACACCACCTTCTGCACAGGTTACCAGACCCTTAATGTTAAGAAAATTTATTTTAGTATTTTAAATGCTCTTTAGCTATTCCATGCTCTGTAGTATCTCATTTTCTAGAGAATAAATTCCTCAGACATGATGAATCTTAGTCAATTCATGATACATTACAAGCAGCAACACGACTGCTCACATGTAACAAAGTTGGCGAACAATTAAATTAAATTATAACAAAATTTAGTGTGCTATAGTAGAGTTCATTCCCATGGAAAGAATCAGTGGCAATGTTATTAAATTCTACAATAACTCTAATTAGGTAAAGGGGCCAAAGAACTCAAACTGTTTCTGGAAGCATTTTCCAGTCACAGTGATATTTTCCACATGTTTCCTGTTTCTGCATTTATTGGTTTTTCTACTTCAGGTGCATTAAGTGTCACAGCATTTAAAATGTAGCCTATGTATTGAGGATGGCTACTTTAGATGCAGTTGATACTTTAAAAAAACAAAATTAAAAATCATTGAAGTAGAATCACAGAATATACTGGGTTGGGAGGGACCTATTGAGTCCAACTGAATCACTTCAGAAATATATGAGAACTTTTCTTCAGATTTGCATCACAGAAATAGTACTTTTAGTACGCTGAATTAATGGAATTATTATAGTAGCATTTCAACAGTACTTGACTAGCCAGGCAAGAAATACAATCATTTTCTAATACCCAGTAACTAATCTTTCATCAGCTTGAATATGTAGTAGAAAGGACTTTTATAAATCATTCATGTCCTGACCAAATTCTCTCATAGGACTAATGTAAATCAAAGTAACTGCACTGCAGTCAGTGGATTTTCACCAATGGTTAATGGTGAAATATTAAAAGAGAAGCAAGGGTAAGTGTTCTTAGTATTGTTCTAATATTGAAGTACTAGCAGTGTGCTTTTAATCACTGTATTTGGTAGTTATAAAGTAAAATTATTAACTAATTTTAAAAGCTCACTTCAAATAATTTATAAGCCTTATGGAGCACATTTGCTTTTCAATTAAGTGCAGCTAAATGTGGTTGGTTCTATACGAAAAACATCTTCATACTGTCACACAAGTAAACACAAAACCAAAAAAGTTCTGTAAAAAAGTTCTGGAATTTGTTCTATACTTGTGCTTCTTCTGTAGATTTTTCTCTTGACTGTTTCTTTTGAATACAAGGCTGTAAAAGTAAAAATATTATTCCCACCATGTATAGCAATCCAGCTATGTAAAAAGAAAAATCGTATTTTTGTGTGATGTCATAGATCCAACCTGGAAAACAAGGACAGAACATGTTTGTTACAAAGTTTGCCAAAAAAGTACATTTCATAAGAAAATACAAAAAATACTTCACTTTTCTTTCATGACATTTCTGTCAAATCCACAGATGTTTTGTGGAAAACCAGTATTTTTCAAACAAGTTATCACAGGTTTGATTTCAAAATTGACATTTCGTAATCCCAAACCAATTAGATCCTCCTCCCTATCACTGCCTCTGTAAAATGCCCAATATTGGGTATTTCAAATGCTCTGCCTTGTGCAAGCAAACACATTTCCCATAGCTGTTTCCAAGCCTCACATACCAATAGAAGACTGTTCAAGAGATACAATCTCAATACTGCAATGATTCTCATTCCAGCCTCAATTCCTTTGCAAAAACACATTAAAGTTACTTCTTCATTAAAGTTACTTCTTCATTGCTTTGGGAAGGTTTGAGAACCCAAATAAGCAAAACTGCCTCACTCCACACTGGCTGCATTGTGATGTACCCACAAGATCTGGAGCTCTCTTTACATCAGCTCTTGCATCCAATTTGCTTCCTAACCAAAGACCAAATTCAGAGACAGGTTTAGCACAGACTGGGAGGTGCTGAGGGAATGTGGCAGAGTAAAACACTGCTGCTTTCAAGGGGCACTGAGAGAGCTTTCTTCTCACTCGTGTTGCTCACCCAGTGGTGGGGAGAGAAGGGGCTCTCGTTTTCCTGGGCTGCTCATGCTGCTCAGGCTTCTCTTCAGCCTAGAGCTGCCCCTGGCTGACTATAGCCATGACATCCCCAAGATTTCTCACAGCAGCACCTCGGTAAGAGAGCTCGAGTCTGATACAGTACTGACAATCAGTACCTGTATCTCTTCTGTACTCCCCCACCTCTTCCTATGAGGAAATTTATAATGAATGTCTGTTTAAACCTAAGTAACTGTAGGGATAGCATACATACACTTCTCCCTTTTGCTGGGGATGGCAGAAAAGAGTTTATGAGCAGTGAAGTCCCCAAAGTAGGCATTTCTGGCTGAAGGAAGGCAAAGCAAATGTAGCTAAATCAACACATGAGCTGGCAGTTTGGAATGGGGACACCCAAACACATAGCACAGTCCTTGGGGTAATGCTGTGGTACAAACAGCTGCCTACCCTGAGAATTAATCACCATTTCTTCATGTGGGTAAATGAATGAGTATGTATAGTGCATATAGTATACAAAACATGAAAAAATGGGTTACACCTTTCTCATTTAACAAAAAAAAAGTGTATGGTAACTATTTTAAGGAAACATACCATTTTAAGGATAGGTTGTAATAGATTTGGGGCTATGTCCAAGAACTGTAATTTGCAATGTGAGGGCAGTGAGCTAGAACCCAGCAGATGTGACCTGTAAATCTGTACAATGTAAAGCTCAATGTTATGTCCATTATGGAGCAGCTGTGATTTTGTTAACTGCACATGCTCATAGCATAAGTTTAATAATACAAAGAGTCACACGGTCATTACACAAACATCTGTTGGTTAGCAATTTGAACTTTTTACCTGCAAAGGGTGGTCCAAACAAAGCAGATATTCCATTGGCACAAATGATGATGCCATAGGCATTTGCAAGGTGTTTAGTTCCAACTAAATCTTCAGTCACAACAGGCATTAGAGAAAAATAGCCACTAGAAAATCCTATTAGAGCACAAACCACAGCCAGGCCAATGTATGTCTGCATTAGTGGCAAAGTAAGAATGCAGGTGACCAGGGTAAAGTTAGCCATGAGGAAGACATTCCATGTGCTGATGCACGGCAGATCAGAGATGATTCCAAGGATCACTTTACCAAAAATATGAACAATGGCTATAATGGATGTCAAAGGAAATACATTGTCCTGCCTAGATAAGTTGTACTGCTTGACTATTTCTGGAAGGTGAATAAAGGGAATGACAAAGCTGCTATAGGCAAACAAAGCCCAAATGATAAAGGCCACAAATACTCTATTGGTAAACAGTGATGCAGCTCCAAAGTAGCTGGAGTACCAGAGTGCAAAGCCCTTCCTGACTGTAATTGTCAGCTGGCTCACTGTCTTAAAGAGGCGCAGTCCATACATGCTCCTTCCACTTCCAGATTTACCTCCAATTTCTGTGTGCTGCACATTGCCAAGCACTTCTTCATTTGCTGCCTCTTCTTTTTTCTCTGGTTCTTCACCAAGGACTCCATTAGATTTTATAGTCTCTGTAGAATGGGACAGAGCTTTTGCCTGATTTTCTTCGCTATCATTTCTCACCACATACTTTTCACGGAGCTCTTTGGGAGAGAGCGGTCTCATGAGTGCCCCACAGACACAAAGGTTCAGGGAGATGGCTCCCTGGATGAACATGGCATTCCTCCACCCAAATTCAGTGCAGAGGTACTTCAATAAGGCAGTCATTAGGAAAGCTCCAAACCCCGTTCCTGTGGTACTGAGCCCTTGTGCAAGTGCTCTTCTGTTCTGAAAATATTGCCCTACCATGACCACTGCAGGTAGATAAACCATGCCACTTCCAATGCCTATAAAAAAAAATTTAAATAAATCTGAACTGTTTGCCAGCAACATAAAAAGCAGTGAAAAAGAAATCAGTTTTATTCCTAATTTTTGTGTAAGCATAGTAGTAAAACCAATAATAGTTCTGATGTTAGCTTTCATTTCTGTCTCGTAGTGTTTTCCAAATTCTGCAGTACTCATTTCCAGTGAGAATGCAATACTAATATTTATTGCTGGAAAAACTAAACACATGGAATATAAAACCTTTATCTCAGGTCAGCATGTCAACATTGGAAAGTTACAAATGTCCCACAATCAATCAGTGACAGTTACTATGGGGGCAAACATAGACACAGCCTATTTTGAAATATCTGCAATTATAATACCCACATCTGATGGTATCAGCGACCAGAACTGCTTAGTGAGCACATCTTGTTGCTTTCACCTAAACTTCCCAGCAATGAAGATTCCCACTGAGTTCCTATCCTTGTTCAGTAATAGTGATCATGACATGTATTTGAGAGGCCAGCACATGGGGTTAGTGCACTGCTGGGACTTTAGGTGGCCTCCAGGTTGGTTCTCTTTGGGCATTCCAGGGAGGGCCACACAGTAGCTGCTCAGTCTTACAAGGTAGATCTCTAATTCTGTTGAAAACCCCTCACCTGCAGTTAAAAACCAGGGTGGGTATTCATGGCATGCACTTCAAGCAGAAAGCAATGACGTGTGCAAACACATCATTAGAAGTAACAGTTCACCATTTTTTCTCACAGCAAATTCTTCATAGAGGGATTTGGATTGGAACAGGTGTATGCAGAAAATGCTTCCCAACTCACTGTGATTGTAATTCAGAAGTGTTTTGTGACTGTTTTGTTTTCCTAAATAGGTGCTAACGTAGCTGCATGCAGCTGCAGCATGATGTAGCTGCAGCTAGGCCAGAGAAAGCCATGATTCCAAAAAAGCCTGAAAAAAGCCCTTCAACATCATAGCAGTGACACTGGCCAGAGCTGACCCATATTGCTTGTTAGAAGTATTTCTTTCTTTCCTAGGCAAATACACAACTGAGCTTTTATTTTTGGGCTTTTATTTTGCACCATTGTCCCTCCCTACACCCGACCACGGACTCTGAGGCCTCTCTGCCCCCCGGAGAGCCCCTGCTCCTGGGGCTGCGAGGAGCTCCCTGAGGGAAGGGGCCCTCGGGAATGTGCTGAGGGTGGCTGCGGATGGACAGATGAGGTTGGGATCGGACGGATGAACTGAAGGCAGCAGCCATGAGCAGGCCCACAAGCGCAGCGTGGAGGCCCAGAGGTGATGGCAGCAAGAGGTGGCCACCGCAATGGAAAAGCAGCTCTTTCCAGGAGCAGCCATGACAACATGGAGAGACTTCTACGGATGGGCCGGGACTGAGAGGATGGTGAGTGAGGGGATGGGAGCAAGTGGCAGGACTGAGGGGATGGTGAGTGAGGGGATGAGAGCGAGCGGGCAGGACTGAGGGGATGGTGAGTGAGGGGATGGGAGCAAGCGGGCAGGACTGAGGGTGAGTGAGGAGATCATGAGGGAGGGACAGTGAGCAGAGGTCTCATGGAGCTGGAAGGAACCTCTCAGGTATCTCTACGCTGTTTTCCTGGACAGAACTACTCCTGCAACATCTCACTTCTCCATCTTACATAAAAGTTTGTCTCTGATTTTTTTTTCCCCCCAGAAAATCTGGTTTTAAATTTAAACTCCTCTTTAAATTCTCTACTTAAACTCTGCCATTTTTTGGTTTGTGTGTGCTCTTTCTGAAAAGCAGCAGGGGCTGAAGAACTGTGTAGATTCCTGCCTGCTTGATTATATTCAATATATATGAAAACAGAAATTCTTGAAAAGGCGGGATCCTCTCTGTGATCATTATTCTTTTTTCAGGATTTTACAACATTACTGAAGTCTACGGTATGGTGGTGTAAAGGGTCATCAGAGTGATCTTTGCTAAGCTCAGTATTTCTCCATCCAAAAAGCTAGATAGAAATTTATGTATAGAAATTCTGTAGATTTCTATGAAATTCTATGAAAGGACAGTTTAAGATTATATAGAGTACTGAAGCTATTACTAATATTGCAAAGAGTCCATTTTTTCCATAATGTTGCCCTCTGGCAAATGTAACATAGACAGTGCTTCATTTGCAAATTTTCAATTTGTTATCTGTGGAGTGAGTAACATTTCAAAGCCCCTTGAACTGCTCAGTGTTGCTGAGATAGTAATTAAAGCCCAAATTTTGCATTTCTTACATGGATAACTTTCACGTTTTTGTTTCATATCTGTTAACAGTATCTATTTTCAGAAATGAGCACCAAACAAAACTGAGTAGTGCTTTAAGTACTTAATACTGGTTCCTCTACATAACTTACTTTATGTAACTGAATTTTTTCACAAGAAACATTGTTAGAAACTGAGCATTCAAGCACTAAGGATTTGTTGGTTTTGAAGGAAAATGCCTAAACCCACATCTTTTTGTATTTTGCTTGGGCTCTTGATCTTTGCTTGTCAAAAGGTTTTCTAGACATCTAATTTCATTAAAATGACAAAACATTACATCAGTCATTTTGATTTTAAAAATTGTAGTGATATTAGTTGCTCTGAGTGGTTGTTGATATAATATGAATGAATGTTATTAGAAACTACATATGAAATACAGCTCCATACATTATCCTAAGTGAGGCTGGGAGAGAGTTAATTTGCTTCTTAGCAGCTCATCTAGTGCTGTGTTTTGGATTTGTGACCCAATCCCTGCTAGCACAGGCATGCTTAGCTGTTGCTGGACACTGTTTACACAGCACCAAGGCCTTTTCTGTTTCTCACAGGGTGTTCCTCACCCCCTGTGAGTGGCAGAGCCCCAGAAGCTGGGAGGGGATGCAGTGGGACAGGGGACCCCAGCTGACTGAAGGGACATCCCACACCACGAGACATTGTACTCAGCAGTAAAACTGGGGAAAGGAGGAGGAAGGGGGAACACTTGGAGTTGTGGCAATGTCTTCCCAGGTGATAGTTACACGTGACCAAGCCCTGCTTTACTGGAAACAGCTGCATGCCTGCCTGCCTGCCCGTGGGAAGTAGTGAATGAGTTTCTTATCTTTGTTTTGCTTGTGCATTCAGCTTTTGCTTTATCTACCAAACTCTCTTTATCTTATTTTTACCTTTCTGATTCTCTCCCCACTGTGGGAGAGGGAGTGAGCAGCTGTGTGCAGCTTAGCTGCCTACCAGCTGTAACCCACTCCAACCTTTAAAATGGGTTTTGAAGCAGTGCTGAGTCTTCACATTCCAGTATTTTATTAATGTGGAGCAACTTCTGGAGAAAACATTTGTTATTCTTTCCTGTGACAAGGAGAGGAGTTAGCTAGATATGAAATTCATCTTTAAATTTTACTTGTCAGGGTTTGGGTTACAGTAACTCCCCTAATTAAAAATGTCCTCTAATGTATTCATTTGGGTGAAACTGATAGAAATTCCACTTTCACATGGCAAATTTAAACAACAAAAGAAGTCACTGGGCCCAATCCACTGAATAAATAAGTTTCCTAAAAAGATAACAGGCTGTAAAAAGTGTAAAAGCAGAGCTGGAATAACTTTACAGTCTACCTTCCCTATTTACTCACTCAAATCAGCTTCAAAGGAATCAAAAATAATTGAAAGAACCTTCAAACATTAGTGCAGCTCTCACCAGCTGTCAGTCCAAAGGTGAGGAAGAGGTAGTGCACATTTGAGGCATAGGCACTCAGTATCCAGCCCAGGGCATTCAGGATCCCTCCAATTATGGCTGTCGTGCGGCACCCACACATGCTGATGAATAAACCAATAAAAGGACCTGTTAAAAAACATGAAATAAATGATAAATTATTTATTTAATTATTTATGCTCTAATAATTTTTCACCCTAAGTTTCTTAATGTTTTCAATAAAATGTTAAAACATCAGGCAAAAACTTGTGCAACTCAGTTTGTTTACTTCTTAAAATTACTTCTTAAAATCATGGAAAGAGAAATACAACCAACTGATTAAATACTTAGCAAATACCTGCCAGACCTGCAATCAAAGTTGCCCATAAAGAAGGGACAGTTTAAACAGAAGAATAAGCTGAAACACCTATTCCTCATGCTGATGCTGTAGGAGTGCAAGACATTTTCACAAGTAACTAGAAGTTAAGCATTTTATCTTGTTTTCAGTAGAATAATTTAGGCAGATATAAACATAACTTTTTTCAGTCTTCATTTAGGGAGTCATATATGTGTATGTACATATATACACAAACATTTCCTCCAGATACTATTTTGGGTTGATCCAACTACAGCTAAAAAAATACATTTTCATTCAGCTGCCAAACTGAAATATAAACTGTGTGAATTCAACATTTTCTCCTCACAGATAGAGCATGGGGATGACTCCAAGCTTCACAGATCATGTTTTCTTAATTCTAGGCAGACCTGGAAGTCACAGGCTTCCTTTCCTGCTCAAGCAGTCTCCTGGGCTAACTGTCTTCCCTGTCATCTTCCTTGTTATTCCCTTTCTCCATCCACATTGTAAAATTGGTCCTGGTGACTTTAAAAGGTCATCTTGGGACAACCATAAGAAAATACTTGAGGGATGAATAGCAAACATATTCTGAAAATACATCCAGTTTTAATATATGTGATGCTGGCACATACCTACAATAAGCGTGATGCCCATGCTGAGGGAGCTAACCCATGCTGTTAAGCCACGACTTTGATTAAACTCTTCAAGCCATTCCATGTTGAGTATTCCAAGGGCCATTTGGGAACCCATGATGAGAATGTGCACAAGGAAAGAGGAAAGTACAATCATCCAAGCCCATCCTCCATCGATGTTTGGATTAGGTTTAATTGGCTTACTTCCAACTTTAGAGTCATCTCCAAAATCATATCCAATATCCTCTCGGCTAGCATACATTTTCTCCACAGTATTCTGAAGCAAATGCAGTAAATACCTAAAAACACATACAAAATAATCAGATTTTGTGGTTTGGTTATGGTGAATGCCATAAATCACTACCATATTTCACCACGTAGTTCGTGCAGTTGTAGTGAATACTGTGACTTCATTGTTCAAATGTAAAATGCTTAGAAATTTGTCCAATTAATTTATTTGTGTAACTTGTTATCATGGCTGTCTATGCAGGAGTATTTACAGGCTGACAGTAGGCTGCATTATTTCCATTACTATATATTTTACTTACTTTTATGTGGCTGAGAGCTCTCACTCTTCATGGGTTGACTGTGGTCACAAAAAGATTGGTCTCCCTCTGTATATTACTTCTCTATGTTACCTTCTGCTGTCCCAATAAGATGATGCCTTTGTGTTCAAGTTCATAAAGCTTGGAGTAAAGAAGCAGCAGGTAGATGAAGTTACCACATCTTTTCAGAGGAAACCAGTTTGGGGATGTATTTTTTCCTTAGAAGTGGAAGAACAAGAATGAAGACAGCAAAAGATAAGGAATTCAGATTCTTAATTTTTAAAATGTTTTGCTTACATAAATCACAACAAGGCAATTGTTAGTGCCCCCCTTTTTAATAGAGTCAACATGACAACAATTTGTTATTATGTGTTCAGTTTCCATAGTATTAATCCTTATAATCCTACTAAAAACAAAGAATTCTTCCAAATTAATGTCAATGCCTATCAGAATCAAACTGAGTGACAGAGTTACATGCATAGGTGTACATAGGATCAGGTCACACTAGCTTAATTTGATTACTTTGATTTATACTGTTACTCTGAGTAAAGATTGCAACACAAGGTGAAAATAATTTCAAAACCACTTTTAATTGATTAACAGTCAAGGTGTATAATCCAGTCTTCCCTCCATCTGATTTCTGCTGCAACAGATTCAAATCTTACCCAACTGTGGAGCACCACATAGGTTTCCATGGAGACTAGAAATGCAATGATACAAATTACCACAGAAGGTTTTTTTTTTTTGTCTTCTTTTCTTCTTCAGAGAAATAAAAAGAAACATCAGCTTCATGTCAGTGGAAAGGGGGAAAAGATATCAAAAATTGTTTTTAAAAGGTCCTTATGTCTCCTGTGAGCTCTCAGAATGTGTGCCTGGGCTGGCTCCTCACTGCTGCAAACAGGCAATGAACAGACAAACCCAGATTCTGTCCCAACTCAAAATTTGTCTTTAAATACGTGAGTACATTTTGCTTCTCAAGTTACTACCTTTCCAAACAGTTTTACTTTTTTTCTTATTGCTAGATAAACACACAGAGAAGGCTCTGGGGCATTCCACAGTAATCCATAGCTGGGGTCAGAGCTGGCCAGTCCCAGCACCAGTGAACACCTGTGGATACGTGCAGCCTCTCCAGCCTGGCTGCTGCCTAAGTTCCCTTTGTGCTCAAACGCCACCTGACCCTTCCTGGCAGGGCAGGTAATCATGTGTAACTGAGGGCAGCTTGAGCATGTAGGTTCTGAGAGCACGCTGATCTGCCTCATAAGTGAGCTGCAGCTAAAATATGTTGCACTCCTGGTAGCAAATCTTGAACAGATGGATGTGTTCTATAGTGACTCAGTTGTCATTAGCCCTAACTTGGCCATGGGAGGTATTGGTGACACAGTGAGGAAGAACAAGAACTGTGCACATTTAACACTTGCTGCACAGACAGATAAGCTGGGATCAATTGATGAGTTGCCAGTGGAAATGGATACTGAAATGCCTTCCAGGCTGTTTCTTTCCAAACTGGGAAACAGAGAATGGGATAGGGCTTAGAGGTCCTTTGAGAGGTCCTGCAGGGTGTCTGAGGCAGGACGAGCAGCAGGGGAACAAGTCAGAGCCTTGCACTGGTACGGACTGGTTTTCTGACCATAAAAGGACAGCCTGGTCACAATTAGTAAATTATATTATTAGTTAAATTAAAGAGGACAGCCTTAGTCATAATTATACCTCACCATTCTTCTGCAAAAGATAGGTCTTAAACATGACATCTCAAGCCTTTCCTAATAACGAACTTGGAGCCAGATCCTCTGTTGCTGTAGGTTACTGGACTACTTACAGAGGATTCAGCCCACTCACAAGGCAGAGAGAGACTAGGTGCAAAAAGGTGATAAACACAATGAATAATCATGCTAATGGGAAATAATGAGAAGAGGCAGAATGAAGGAAAATCGCAAGCTGTTGCACATGCTCTGCATAAGATTAATGAAAATGTATGAGGGATATTACAGTGCATCTTAGATAATGGAACACAAAATTATGTAACTGAAGATTCAGAGTCAAGATTAAATGTAAAGCCTCACCTTTCTCTCCTATACTTTTGACTGGTTTTGTGCACACCTGAATCCTGATACTGGATACAAAAAATTTTCTTCTTTGGACAGGAAATAGGCACATCTTTTACATATTTTAAATTATTTGAAGAAAAACAGTTGATATTGAGCTGCAAAGTTATGACACTCCTCTTTGCAGTCTTGCTGACAGAAGTGGCTTAGATTGAGTAGATGCAAGTTAATGTCATGCTTGTATCAACACCCACAAATCTTCAGAAAATGCATTTACCATTTGAACTGAATTCTTGCTTATTATTACTTTCATACTATTAACTTTTCACTAAGGTGACAAGTTCAGAGTGAATACACTCAAAAGCAGAGGAAGTAATCTCCAATAACTGCACAAACTCTCAGTCTCTGGATAAGCAAGGATTGGATGCCAGGATCCCCTTCCCAGGACAGTCTGATTGTCCCATGGCCTGCTGCACCCAGAGGAAAGGCACATACCTGCCTTCAACCTTCTTCCCACACAGCACTGCCAAGAGCAGGCTCATGAAAGGCAGAGGAGCCAAATGAACTCTTTGCAATTGTGAAATCCTAGAGAAACTGTAGTGAAAATGACAGCAGCTGATGAAGCCAGTCAGTCTCCCCAACAAGCAAGGCAAGGAAACCCATTCACAGTAACAGTGTTTGAATACAGCTCCTCAGGAAGAATTTCATTTAAAGGCAGGGGAATCTGGATTCTTATTTGGTCACCTGTAAAAGAATGAGATTTTTTTTTTCCCAGAAAAGCTTTTTAGATTATATGCACACAAAGTATGCAGAGCTCTTAGAAAAATGGCCCAAGCATTAGTGCCTGCAAAGATGCTGAGCTTTTTTGAAAACCTGACTCATGAACTATTTTAGGGACAAATGCAGATGCTGTAATAAGACCTAAGTTAGCAGCAAAACACCCAAGTTCCATGTACCATCAGTGGAGCTATGGCTCTCTAGCTTGTAGTTCAACTAGATCACTGAAAAACATCTGCTCTTGCTATAAAAAGTATATGATTAATAATTTACATATATTGGGTCAACTACCTCCAGCATTTGACTGCGTCAGTGTTAAAAATTATAGAATAAAATTGTACTTTAAAGCCAGTTCCAATGGATAACTCATAAACGCACTATAACTAGTAATGAGGTTTACTTTGTAATATCCCCAGTAAACATGCCACATGTAATTATTTGGTTATTATTTGGTTGATGAAGGCATACAGAGGAAACATTGCTAAAAACATGGTTTATTTTGGTTGTCATATGTTTCAGCAGTCTTGTTTCGCCTTGCTAACATGCCGAGCACTTCATCTGTCAGCAGCTTTCCGGAGATGTGGACACCGGCCACCTCTGCCAGTCAGAGCCCCAGTGCATAAAAATGCAAGCCCAGAAAGGGACACAAAATCAGGGCAATTAAATGCTTAAAAGGCTAAACTAATTGCCAGGGTCACAAGTTTGCATAAAGCCGGCAGCAGTTGCGTTTCCAGAGCGGGGGGCTGCCCTGCTGCCCCTCCCTGAGGGATGCTTCCAAGCCCTGCTCAGGCGGCCTCCCCGGAGACCGCTCGGTGCTCTGTGCCCCGGTGGGACCCACGCGTGGTGCCCGGTCCCCAGGCAGAACTGGCTCCAATAGTGGACAGTTTTCTCCCCTCCTCCCCTGGCCGTGGGCAGCTTGCATCAGGCGTGCACCTCTATTTTGTACAGGCTTTTGTACAGCTTCTTTCGGGAGCAGCCCGAAGGCAGGGGATGTGCTTTTTTCTCCCAAGAGAGCAGCTTTGGGAGCTTCACACGCGACGCCCTCCCAGCCCTCCAGTTCGGTTCACCTATGCGGAGCAGAGCTGGGGCAGGGACGGCCGCCACCGCCCGGGCCGCGGGGCTGCCACAGGGACAGCTCAGCAGCGGCTGTCGCGCAGCCCGGCCCGGGGAGGGGGCGCGGGCTCGGCCCGCG